TGTTGGGCACTTGGTCACCAGCACGGGATTGGCACAGGGAGGATGTAAGAGCTGCTATGAAGGAGTGTGGAAAGCTGAGCTGGAGAACTTTGGTTGGGATTTCTGGATGCAGAACTGGAGATGAGGACGAATCAAAGAAGAGGGGAAGCATGGAGGGAGTAGGAGTGGGGCTGCCAGCTCCAGCCTGTCTGGATTGGAAAAGTGCTGCAGGCGGTGGGAGGCAGCTTCTGGAGCGGGAGGTAAAATGGGACAGGCGGCTTTTGAGCAGAGAGTGGCCTGAGTGGAGCCTTCCCACGGGAGGAAACTGCTGCTGGAGTCAGCAGCACTGTGCAGCCACACAAAGGTCCTGAGAGCAGGCAGGGGGAGAGAGGGAGGATTAACCCTTCAAAGGCACTAGCACAGTTTGGGAGATGCTGGATGGGGCAGCCCTTCTGGTCAGCTGAAGGCAGAGGTGGGGAAGGCTCCATCCATGTCCCTGGGAAGCCTCCCCATGCCAGGGCTGTGGCAGAGCTTCACCCACTGCCTGAAGGATGGGGTGGGCTGATGTGAAGTGTCATGTCCTTTCAGCCGGTGTCCAGACTGGATATGTCCCTTTTCTCTGTTGCAGTCACTCTTTGAACGCCAGGGCATGGCCGCACACTCGGGGGTCCTTGCGGGAGCTGAGAAGCCCCACGTGTCACTGCGCAAAGGAATTCCAAGGACAAAATCTGTAGGTAAGGCAGGCTAGGGGGGAAATCCCTTCCTCAAGAGAACAGAACATCCCTGTGGAGCCTTTGTGCCTGTGCTTATGGCTCCACCCTCTCCACTGGCTTGTAGCTAAAGAGCTTTGAAAAGGGGATGTTTCATGTGATCTCTGCTTAGAAGGTCATCTGTGTCCCAAGAAGCCTGTTCTGATGCTGACACTGGTCCTGACCTGAGCAGGAGGGTGGATGGAGAACCCGGGGGTCCCACTCAGTCCCTTCACGGCACTGCTGGGGGTGGGGGAACCTGTCCCACCTCCGTGCTGGCACGTGAGGGTCGGGGGGGTGGGGGGGGCTGTCAGTCCATGGAGCAGCCAGGCCGGTGTGGAGTGTGGTGAGCACACGGTGGTTGAGCATCAGACCGTGAGTGTCACAGGCTGACGTGGGAGCAGGGAACAATGGGGTTTTTATAAGAAAAAATAGGGCAGGGTCTGGAGCATGCTACCTGAAGTCCATGGGCTACACTGGGATCTTTAGACAGTGTCCCGAAAGGTGTATGGTGCAACTAAACCTGAAAGTGCTGGAGGAGGGAGATGGGAGGACAAGGCAGTGAGCAAGGGTTGGTACACAATGGCTAGGGGGTGGTGTCTCCTTTTCTCTCTGGATTTTGTGCATTTTATCCAGGTATTGGCAGGGTCTGAGGGTGCAGTAGTGTGCATGGTCACTTCCATGGAGGCTCAGGGGAAGGAGGGAAAAGGCAGAGAGAACAGTGCTGTGCTGTGTGGCAAGTGATGCCCCAAGGCATCACTGGATGGTAATAGTGATGCCAAAACAGATTGTGAGTTTAACACACAAAATAAGTTAATAGAAAGTAAATTCTGCTTCAAGCTACAGCTGAGAGCAGTATGATCCCATTTTAGAGTGTAAAAACTAGTTGGAAACTGCAAGGCTTAGTGTTCAGAATGTACTTTTTCAAGTACAGAGCAGTGCATATGTGCCTCACGCTCCTGTTCATATGAGGGAGGCTGGTACCTGTAGTCCCACATAAGATTGCTCTGAGAGTAGTAGATAGCTAGAGGGAATCACATGTGTGCATGATTCATCTGGAAAACAAATAAGGAGAGATAATCTTTAAAACATAAAAGATTGGATATTCAAGGATTGCTCTGGTGTGGACTGACACACCGTGCTGGTAAAGCTGCTAGTAAAGCTGCTGTCATGCTCTGAAATCCAGAGGCAGAAGCTCCCATACCGCCCAAGAGCTGAACTGAAACCTGGTCAGAGAGGTGATGAGATGCACGGAGGTGCATGCAGGCATCAATTCTCATAGGCTGCAATACATGCTAGAAAGGGGCTGCCGTGGTGCCTGGCATCGCGATAGTACTGACCTGCAGACCTGCAGAGTGGGAGTAACTGCTTCATTGTCTCATGAAGGTAAAAGTGAGCAGTAGCGCAGGCAGGGTGGGATTCACCTCATGCATAAAGTCGTGGAATTCCAGACTGGTTTGTGTAGGAAGGGACCTTAAATCTCCTCTTCCAAGCACCTGCCACAGGCAGGGACACCTTCCACTAGAGCAGGTTGCTCCAAGTGCCTGTCTCCAACGTGGCCTTGAACACTGCCAGGGATGGGGCAGCCACAGCTTCTCTGGGCACCCTGTGCCAGCGCCTCAGCACCTTCACAGGGAAGAGCTTCTGCCTCAGAGCTCATCTCAATCTCCCCTCTGGCAGGTTCAAGCCATTGCCCTTGTCCAAAGCCCCTCTCCAGGTTTCCTTGAGCCCCTTTAGGCACTGGAGCTGCTCCAAGGTCTCCCCTTCAGGGGCCTTCTCTGGGCTGCCCCAGCCCAGCTCTCTCAGCCTGGCTCCAGAGCAGAGCTGCTCCAGCCCTCTCCTATGAATCACACTCCCCTAAAATCACACCTGTCTCTTCACTGTGCTCAATCCAAGAGTAGCATGAGTCTGTCTGCACCCAAAGGGAGCAATTCCTGTTGAAGAGGGGACAGCAACTTCTTGTTCCAATTTGCCTGCCCTAGGACATACCAGCAGCAGTGCCTCTTAGAGATCGGCTCATTCCTGTGAAATTTCAGATAAGCTAAAATAGAAAATAGCCAAACCATAGAAATGGGGTTGCAATTGGCTTGTTTTAGACGTCCTCCCTGAGCTGTCATTTCACACCCACAGCAACAGGCTCATACGCTGCACAGTCAGTTGACTTCATGATAAAAATCACTACTAAAAGTAAGAAACGAGCAGAAAAATAAGCAGGGCTTGTTTGGTGGTTTCATTTTTTGGTGAAGAAAAGCTCTGAATATTTGCATATCACACAGCAGGTTTTGATTCCCAGGACCTGGTCATAAAAGATCAAAAGATTCCATGTTTGTATCTAAAAATTTCTTGAGATGAAGATGGGTAACTCTCAACAGCCTGCAGAGAAAGCAGGATGGGAGGATTGCTTTGACAAAATGCGCAGAAATGCATTGCAGTGGGGAGGCTGAGAGAAAAGGAAATCTTTGTCAGACTTCCAAGGTAACTGCCACACCATCTGGTCCAGCATCAGAAGATGCAAACACTTGGGAGTCTGCAGAGCCACCCTGGTGCTGCTGAGGCTCTCCTGCACATCTCCAGGCACTGCAGGGGGTGGTTCTGCACACATAGAAGCAGTTTGTATCCCCACAGCAGATAGAACCATAACGGGCTGCAGGCGCTGGCTGTAGGTGGCAGATGCACCTCACCAAGTGCTGTCTTGGTGTTCAACCAGCCACTGAGGATGCCAAGCTCCTGCTCTGCCAGCTCAGGGCAGTGCATGCAGCAAGGACTGGCCGCACACCCTGATCCTGGTCCAGCACCGTCCTTCCCCAATCCTGGGTGAATCCCAATGCTTTCCCCTCTTCTAAACAAGTTCTCAGGATCACTCCTGAGTGATCTTAAACCTGCAGTTTAAGTTTTGTGCCACAGCAGCCAGCACAAGACTTATTTCCCTGCCCTCTGGTGGGCAGTGGGCTTTCCTCCTCCCGCCAGTTCCGTTGTTGCCTGGCGCTGATGCCGACCCCATGTGCCAGAGGATGGTGATGCTCATGCAGTGTAGAATCCCAGACTGGTTTAGGTTGGAAGGGACCTTAAAGCTCATCCAGTCC